TCAAAGTAGGGAGGAAATCTGTTTGTGCAGGGTGGGGAAATCATAATTTTGAATTATTTTTTTTTTAAGTATGTCCACTGTCCATAGTGGCAGTTGCTCAGATTTTCTCATTTATCAGTTTGTTTTACCTTTGCTTCCTGGGTCCTTAAAAATAAATTTTTTAAAAAAGTTAAATTTTCCAGGAAAAATTAAGAGACTGGTTGGAAGAAAGCTACAAAGAACTTAACTTGGAAAAATTGTTCCAAAGATACTGTATTTAAAGTATTTATGTTGTTCTGGTATACTTCTTAAGAAAAGATCTTTCTTAAGCACCTTCCCAGGGTCCCTGACTGAAGCATTTCAGGCAGCAACCATTAAAATTGTATTTGCTTGCTGCATATCTGCTGAAACTATTCGGGTCTGTAATTATTATACATATTTGTTAGTACTGAATGTTTGTATGTAGCATCTTTAAGGGCAAGTGCATGCTGGCCAATGGGGACCATGTGACACCTGGAAGGTTCATCTAACCTACCTGACATTTTAAGGATAAATCGTGCTGATGATCCTCCTGCTGTGGTTATAGCAGAACTTTTTTGAGGCATAAAAGTGCACTCTGCTCTTCAGACACAAGGCGCCTCTGACGGATCTGTAGTGTCAAATCCCTGTTACACTCAACTGTCACTTAAAACCTGTGCACCTCTTCATAGAGGTGTGATGGGAGGACGTTGTTCTTCGGAAGAAATCATCTGGAGATGGATCTGCTGAGCTACCCCACTGCTGTGCGTGGTATAAAAGCCTGGCTCTTCTGGCAAGTCAGCGGTAATTTCCCAGTGCAGATTTTGGCCATCCTTAAGAGAAATGAAAAGAGACAGAGAGCATGAAACTGAAAGAGAAGCCTCTGTTCCCTCTTGGCTGGTGGCCCTCAAAGGCCTGGGGGTGTGTCAGAAGATAATGGGTAGCGAAAACTGGGCTACTGTGAGTGGATTAAATGCATTTAGGCAAGGCAAGGGGAAGGTACCATAACTGAGTAGGATCTGTTCCAGATCTTTGCTGTGAAATTAACACCTTCCCTTCTTCCTAACTATACAGATAGAATTTAGAGTGATTTGATGTGAGAATGAACCACCATCTATTTTGTTTTATGATAGAGTTTCTCTTTATTTACAGATTGAAGGCGGTGTAACTTGGCAATATATATTGGCTATAATGACAGATCAGTGAAAAACCTGCAAGTTTTGGAGGTAGCATGAGCTACTGCATAATTCACATAAATTAAGTGAGGGGAGAGATATGCTACAGTACCTCATTGAGAATATCTTCTTGCTGATGTGATTTTTATTTTTAAACGTAATGGAAGTTGAGAGAAACAGCTCTGGGCAGAAATCCAGGCAAAAAAGGTTTTATATGTGCATTTAATGGAAGAATTTTGGCAACAAAACAGTATCCTTTTCTTAGCTTCTGTCTTAAATGGGGACAAGTACTCTCTGCATTAGTATACAGCCTTTCCTTTTCATCGTTCTTCCACCTTTGAGTAGTACCAGACAAAAAGACTGTGTGGTTTTTCTGTTTTACTGGTGCCACACAAAATTTTCAATTAAGCAAGAAGCATATCTAAGGCTCATCTAGAGAAGCAGTTATCAAGGTGTCATTAACCTGCTGGAGGAAGTCTCCCCTGCCCCGATGGAGGGGTCATTTTTCCTTTCTTATAGATAAGATTGGCAACAAAATAGAAACACCAGACTTCAGAGATGATAAGTGGCATGGCCAGTGCATCTGGAGGGATTTTCAAGTGCATTCTGCACTGGCCTGACTTTGTTTCCTTCTAAGCCTGTGAGAACATGATTTTTGACACCAGTGTGAAGAGGTTAGACCAGCGTGGAGCACTTTGGAAAATTCCTCTTATTTAATTTGGTTTATTACTGTTGGTATGTGTTCTGCCATAACAAGGCATTTATTACCTGACATATTTCACTAGTATTAAGTGTTTTCTGCCTCCTTGAGGAAAGTTCATTATCATCAGCTGACTTTTGTCAGAAAGCTCAATCACTCACTTCCAGAAGTTTAGAAATAGCCTCAGAAAGATATACATTTATAGTCCATAGCTGAGTTTTCCTTCGCTGTACCATAAAGTCTGCTTATCACATCGCACAACTGTATGTATATGTTTCAACATCCATTTCATATTCAAGCAGAACCCAAGGAATGTGACAGTGGGCATCAGCCTTTACGAAACTTGCCTTGGGAAAACTCGGATTAGATTAATAGTAGTTTTCTTCGTCTAAGAATTGACAAACTAATGCTAATCACAAAACCTTAGTGAGTTTATAGACATTTGTACACAAAACTCTATGTATGTAAACAGATCAATGACGTTTTATGCATAGAGGCTCTCATGCTTTTTGCAGAATAGGGTCATAAGAATGGAATATGTCAAGTGAACTACTTAGACCATATACATATTAAACTGACTATTTAATTAATGATCTCTTTTCCATTTCATTTTGGCTGCAAAAGAGATACATGGTGAGTATTTTTCTTCTTTAGTACACTTATTGGAGGAAAAAAGCTTGGAAAAAAATGTAATAATCTCATTATAATATAATCCTTAACTTTTTATCAGAGTCCAGAACCAAATAAATAATTGAATACAAATACAGTGAAAGGGAGGAGCTCTTTAGAGGGTTAGAAACTTTCCCTTCCACCACTCCTATTTTGAGATAAAGCTTAGAGAAGACATTATCCTGAGGTCTGTAAGTGGTGCTCTGCTGAATTCCATGGGTGCAGCATACCCACTTCCTGCTCAGTGGAGGATTGGCTGTAAGGCAAAGCAGAGCCCAAGCTCTGCCAAGGGGCATTCTTCCTGCCCTCTCCTCTGCTGTTAGGACTTCACAGCCCAGAGCTGGACCCATCTTAAAGAAACCCCAGCCTGTGCTCAATTAGTTTTTGAATGTGTTCGCTGGCCAGTGATTGCATTGAGAGAAGGACAAATGCAGTAGTCACATGTTGGTGGTGTGAACTGTTTCTCCTGCTTCAATTACCAGTTTACAATTCCCAGGCGACAAAATACCGATCTCTTACCCATAAAATAAAATTAGTTTATAAATACTCTCTTGAAGTTTCTTTTCAAATCTCAGTATTTCAAGACTCATACCACAATGACCTTTCCAGTGGATTGACCCTGATCATGGCTTCATCCAAGCTCTTCCTAGCTCTGATGAGAGGGTCCATGAAAAATAGCATTAAACACTTCTCCATAAGTACATAGTACACAAGTGCTGCTTCTCAAATTTGTGGCTGACTAGAACCGGAGTTTTTCATGTGGGTCTGCAGATGCAGGGTTAGGCTAAAACTGTATCTTCATATAAAAAAATAACATGCCAAATCTGACATCTTTCTATTCCCAGTTTTAAACTTATTAAAATTGGCATGGTATTGTCATGCATAGAAATCCATTTGGACTTGTCCTTGTCAGAGAAGACATTTATGCTTGTTTTCTAACAGCTACAAAATAAGAAAGAAAACTTAATAGTAGTGGTTCACTTCTGTGCAGAACTGTCTTAATTTCTTACAAATGGTTTGGATGACTGGTTGTCTTGCACAGTTGGAGCCCAGTGAATATTTTGCAGGTAGCTACTATATTTTGATTTGCACATCTGCAGAATTCAGAAAGCAAGACAGGTCTTTCACAGAGCTTAAAGGGGATTTTAGCCAACTTGAAATCTAGGCAATTTTAAGTCTGAATTATATATGGCTTCAGGTTCTGCTTATATCTGATTTTAAACCCTGTGATTTTAATGATATATTTTTTAGTTTTTCCAGAGTGTCTATATCTTTTACCCAGTGTTGCTTAAGAGTCCATTAAGAAGGGGAAATTTCTCCTTAATGGATACAGAAGAAAAAAAAATATGCACAAAATATTTTTTAAGAGTAGGCAATAAAAGAAAGCAGAGAAAATATTCCTTCTCATTTCATTTTTAGTAAGAGCAGGAAATAAAGAATGTAATAATAAAACTATCATTATTAATGGGTCCTCTTAAACTAGATACTTATTTTAAATTTTGATTTGGAGATTTGATACACCAGCTGAAAAGCTTTGCAGTTAAACCAGTTCAGAGACATTGTATTTCACAGGACACTGAGGGCTATGGGTACCCAGTGGTCACTGTGTGGATATGGTGGCGTGGAGCTTAGCACCAGGGATAATTAAAAGATGTGTAGTTTATTGGCAATGACCCCCTGCAGCCCTCCATGCTGCCACAGCAAACCTGCTACCAGTGCTGGGCGTAGCTGGTTGAAAGCAGTGACCGCACCGTGGACTACAGGCCCTGGGAAGGAAAAACGGCATAGCAGTTATTTTGCCAAAGCAGGAAAAAAAATCAAGCTGGTTGCTTAAGACTCACCTCAGCACACAAAAAAGCATTATTTCTTTCCAAGCCTAATTAACTGTGTTTTTATTGGCTTCTGGTTAAAAACACAGTGTCTTTGATTCGGAACTATTGCTTCTTAAAGCAGAAGATGCTAGTAGTAATGTTACTTTAATAAGAAGCTAATTTAATTCTTTGCAAATATTGTTGATGATGATTTTCTTTTGTGCGAAATTAATGCAACTGGATATTTTGCTGCCTCCTAGGCCCCCCCGACCTGTAACCAGCATGAACGACACACTCTTCTCCCACTCTGTTCCCTCAGGAAGTCCTTTTGCAAACAGAAGGTGAGTTCTTATCCTAATTAACGTTGAACCATTACGTAAGTGGTGAAAGGTTCAATTTTCAGTTCCCCCCAGAAAAAAACAATCCCAAAATAAAATTAAAAGACACAAGCAGAGAAGTGCCTTGGTTATTTTGGACTGATACAGAGATGTCTAGATGTAGAGCTGGAGTCAGGGCACCCCAAGGTCCTCACAGCAGAGCACAGAACTTTGGTTCTCTTTTGAACCATTACATCCCGCTAATGTGCTCACATGCAACCTAGGCACCCTCCCGGAGGGGCTGAAGTTGGGCAGTTCATGAGAAGACGTTTTGTAGGAGCACTGTGGGAATAGAAACTGGGACACACTGTTGCCTATTGGGAAAGCCTGCCTCATACTGGAAGATATGATATGAACAAAGTGAAAATGTGTTCACACTTGCAAGCTATAGGAAGACATCCTTACTCCTGTTGAACCATTCAGATTTTCATTAAAGGCTACAAAAGAGAAGTAGTCTTGGCATATGGTGACCCTTCAGCAAACAAACCAGAAAAGAGTAGTCAGAAACATTAATCCCAAAGAGAAGGTGCTTGCAGCTGAGTGTACGTTTTGGCTCAGTATTTTGGCTCATGCAGCCATGGTACGTGTGTAGTATTTGCTGGCAGTTTCACCCAATCTATGTAAGCCTACCAGTGCACATAGATGAGAAGGTGGCAGAAAAATAACTTCCTGCTGTATTGGGGAAGATGAGTGACATGTCTTCCTCAGGTGCATTTGATTGCTTGGTTCCTGCTCTACGTGTCAGTGCTTCAGTGGTCCTGAATAACCAAACACCATCTCTGAGTGTGCGTGGCTACATTTTTTAACACCAAAACCAAACCCACAGTGTACCACACTGCGATGTCAGAGTGAAGATGTTTTACTACTACTTTGATTTTTGAACTTTGTTCCCAGGATCTATAAACTGCTTATCTTGGTGCAAGTAGCTGCTGGGTGGCCTCTCCAGGACAGGTCATTAAGAGCAATGTTCTTTGAGAGTGTAGGTGTTGCTTCTGTTTATCCCCAAGAAGTCCCTGTGCTCCTTCAACAAAAGTATGATTTGCCATTTAGGCCAGGGATCTGCAGTAATAATCACAGCACTATCTACAGTGCTACTTGTTTTTCTTTACATATGAAAAAATCCTGATTATTGTACTTTTGTGTTCTTTAGTAATTCAACTGACTGTCTCTAACTATCAGAATTAAATGTATATATGATCCCTGAGCCATTAGAATTCCTTTTCTCCTAGAGGAGGAACTCCTTGATGTAGAATCCCCTGAAGGCAGGAGACAATAAAACCCCCACAACCATAGGTCCCCAGACTTCCTTATAAGTGGATAGTATGACATCCTTACGCTGCAAAAAGTTTCCACAATGCAGCAGTCAGTTTTGGCTTTTTTAGAGTTAACAGTACCCTGTTACATTGCTTGTATACTAAAAGCTATGGTAACTTTTGTTTCAGTGACCTAGCAGGATTTTTAAGTGTTTGACAGCTTATTCTCATTGTTTTTATTATCAGCTCTTATAAATCTAATTTGTACTTTTTTATTAAAAAGAAAGTGCCCTACCAACTGTCAAGTCAGTATCCTCTCTAAATGTTTACAAATTGCATTTATTGTCATGGACCCACTCTGAACACGCTGATCTCTGTGTGTACTTTTTGAGGTATTAACAAGGTTTCATTGTTTGAATCATTCAGGTTACTTGGGGGTATAAATGCAGCCAGTCCTGTGGCTGATGAGCATTCTCTTATAAAGCTGTATGTAAATCAGCTTCACAACAATTCACGGTCAGTATGAGAGCACTAACCCACTAATCGCCGTAGTTCTGTAGCTCATGCACTAAATCATTTAGCGATTCTGCTAAGCTACTAAAGATACTCTTTAAAGAAGGCTCTGGTGGCTCTAATTAGTCTTTTGAATGGACTTTCTGCTGGCTGTGGGCTTTGCCAACTTCTCTTGCTTCTGCAGAGCACAAACCTTTTGTTTTACCCTTTCACATAGGATTAACATTAATGTATCTAGAGGAAGTTGGAAACATTGGTTTTGAAAACTAAAAAAAAAAAAAAATTCCCCTTTATGGTTTCATCATCAGTGTATGACTTGCCTGATGCATTCTTGACCAAGGAACAAAAGAGGCTCTCGCACAAGAGTTCAGTAAGAAAGTACTGAGACCAAGGTACTTTTCTGCTAAATGCCAAGTCCTTCAATCTGTATTAGACTAATAACAGCATCTTCGTTCATTCTTTTGGGTTTTACTATTATTATTGCCCTGGGAAAATCAGGCCTCATTAGTGGCAGCTCATCCTCTCATACATCAGAGAAACAGACTATGACAACTCTGTTTGCAATTCTGCTGATTTTATATTAAATGCTCCATGATTCATATTATAATATAAATTGTACAAACTCGGGGTAAAATTTCTAGCTGAGCATAATCAATGCTGAAAGCCCTGCTGGCTGTGTTTTCACTGCAGATAACTTATTGATAGTTTAATTTGTGTTGCAATCTAGTCCAGAGGTTTCAGATAGCTTTAAATAAAGTTTTTATGTAATTAGAATGTTTATGCAAAGGAGAATTGGCACAGACTGTCATTCATAGCATTCCCATGGTATTTATTTCAGCTAGTTGTGTTCACATACGGATGTTACCATTCGCAACCAGCTTCTCCCTGTAGCAGGAAAGGCTGAATTCAGCACACCGAGTCATTCTGCTGCTGGGAGTGGATATGGTCTCATAAGTTCAGCACAACACCATCTTCGTTTCTGGATTCATGGGTGAAAAAGGGAAGTGAACTGGGAAAAAGAAGAATCCTGTTGGAGGAAAGGTCTTTGATACCTTGTTCCCCATACTTTGTCATCGTATTTACAACTGAAAGGAGATTGAACATTATATGTTCTTTACAGTTTAATGGCATCTGAAGCACTGATTTTGGGTACGCAGTTATTCCAAAGCGCAGAGGAGGTCAGATTCAGGCTTTCCCTGAGATACTTCTTAGTTTCTTCAAGCCACTTCAGAATCAAAATTCTTTAAAATTTCTCTGCTTGCTTTGCTTAGTTTCAGCCACCATGTCCATAGGAGAGCTTTCATTAGGAGGCTGGCATAAAAATTACAAGCACCTTTCTTCTGAAAATATACACTGTGCAAATGGGTGTCAACACTATGCTCTGTACAGCTCAAGCACAACTTTGAAGCACTTATATTAGAAAAGAAGAAACAATGAGCATTGACAGCTAATATGTGATTAAAACCACAAGCTCTGTGGCTTTTTTACTGTAGCTAATATTCAGGTTGTAATCTCACACTTGTTTTTGTGCTCTCACTTTACCTAGAGGGCAGCAGAACAAGGGACTATTGCTGTAGAGTAGGTAATGCCCTTGCAAAGCCAATGAATTGGATATGTTATGTCAAAACAGGTAAATTGAGCATTGTAGAAGCTTCTGTCCCGTCAAGGGGAATAACTCTAGTCACTGAATTAATGTTTTCTGCCTTATTTGGATTCTTTTGTTCCCCAGCTGCAGTCTATCTGTGCTGCCTTAAAGTACATAGCTACCATAGTAATGGATGCAATCTCTCTCTCTCTCTCTTAATAAATGTCTCCTTTAAGCTGTTAAATTGTAGGGCTAAGGTGGGATAAGATGAAACAGAATGTTTTGTCTTTCTTACGTTCTTCTCAGCCCCTCTTCACAGCCAATACATTTAGTTCTTCTAAAGTCGCAATAAACTGGAATGAATGGAGTGATGCCGCACATTCTGATGAATTTGAAGTTGCTTGGCAATTCTGCGGTGGATAGAAAGAATGCACTATGGTGTCAAATGCCCATAGCCAAGGAGAAATTGAGTCTTATTTAATACTGAGTCAGAGTAGTTGGTACCTTCTTTGAACCACACAAAAAAGCTAAAAAGAATTGGATATTCTACCTGGGCATAGTGAGAGAGTAGGCCAAATTTTTAGACAAAGCTAACTTTGGAGCAAAACATGCTTCTTGCTGCTCTTGTCCGTGTTTCTGTCCCTAAGGGGAGTGGTAGACTTAAACTGGATGTTGCCTTCGTATGTTGTTGAGATAAGAACCTTATTTCACTGGCAATATTCCCCGGATTAAAGGAAAGGTTTATATGTCTGATTGTTCAGTAGCCAGGGAGACACTAAAGAGGGTATAACATTTACACCAGTAGTGTTGGGTCTACATCTTTGTGGATATCTGGTCAGAGATGGAGGTTTTGTCTCTTGATTTGGATGGGGAAGCATTCTTTGGCATCTTACAAAATGTTCCGTTTTAACAGTATTTATCTTTAAAATATCCGTTCCAGTTGGTATGACCCAGAGAAACTCACTGTGGCCAGAACAATCTCCGAAGTATTAGCTGTATTTTGGAGAGTCTGTGGGGCATGTAGGAGGATGTGGAAGAACGGGGAGAAATGTCGGCTCTTCCAGATGAGGGAAGGTTCAAGGCAGAAAAAGGGACAGAGATCAAAGGGATTATACAAGAGGCAGGCTAACCTTGGTATCCAAAGATACTGAAATCATTAAAGAATTAGTAAGCACCTGGAGGATAAGAAACCAATGAGAAAAAGCCAACATGGATTTCACAAGAACAAATGATGCCAAACCAGACTAATATATTTAATTGACAGGATAACTGGTCCAGTGGGTAAAAAAGAAGCAGCCGATATGATACAGGTTGACCTTAAAAGGACATTTGACATAGTCCCAGATGACACAGAAGTACCCATAGGAAATATAGACATTGGGAAATCAGTATAAGAGCAACACTGAAAATCAGTAATTACATTTTCAAAAGTGTGCTGTTGTTCTAGGAGGAGAACTTACCAGCTGGGATTCTTGAAGGCTATCCTAAGTCAGACACTATGCACTATTTATTGTAATTGTTGGAGCAACAGAGTGAGTGTATGCAATTTGTAGATGCTACAAAGGTTGAAATAGTTATGGGAAGGAGTGCTTGGAGAGCAGTTTCTAAATTAAAAAATGAGCTCAGTTGCAATGGTAGTAATTGATGTCCGAATGATCTGAAATCGGTTAGAGGAGACTCGGTAATTATAAGTGGAAAGTGCTGTAGAAAGGAAGCAAATAATCAAATTAAAGATGAAGCATAATTTGGTGGGCAGAAATATTTTAACAGAGGACCTAGCAGGTGCAGTGAACCACAAGCTAATTGAAGTCAGCAATATGATTGTCAGATTGCATCTGACCCCGGGGCATCATGTGGAAAGCCATTAAAACTCCTTACCTGGAGGAGGAGACATCTGCCTGCAGGTTCACAGCCATTGTAGGGCAACAGCACAGGCACCGGTATGCTAACCAGCATGACAGGTTCCAGAGGAGACACCCAAACATCAGAAGAGCTTAGAAAACATAACTCATAAGAAAAGGTTGGAAGATATAAGTTTGCTTAATCAACTAAGAAGTAAATGGCCATTGATAGACATGATATCGGTTGCTCAATGAGTAATGTTTGCTTGCCTGTCCCTCCACCCTAACTATGGTGCTTCTGGAGCATAGGAGAGGAGAACTGATAGAGGGGGCATCACACTGCACTGTTAGAAGGCAAAGCACAAAATCTTCCCTGGGGTCTTTGGTCTCCCTTGTGGCAACATATTTAGCTTTACTTAAGAACTGAATGCTGCATTTTTGTCTGAAATGGCACACCCCATACCCCTTGAATGCATTTTCCTTCTTTAATTGGGAAGAAAACAGAATTAAATGTGTATCCTAGATGGCATGGAGCAGCACATTTATCTGCGTGGATGTTACTTCTGTGGAAGTGCAACACAGATAAACAGCATGCTGATGGGCATAGGAATGTGAAGCAAGCATTTTTTCTTGCTGTACAGTACTGCATTTCGTTCAGCTTTCTTAGAGATTTATTATAAATCAGTAGGGCTTGGGTTCTTAGGACACCCATCGGTACCATCCTTGTCAGAACCCCACTGCCAACCTTGACCTCCCAAAGGGCAGGGGGGAATGGCACGAACCTTGTCTTACTGAGTTCCATTTTTGTCCTAATATTAAGGGTTTTGTTAAAAGTCCATCAGAGGCACATCTGCTCAGATGTATCTTGCGTCACGTTTGTGCAACATCATCTGCCTGTACACACGCACAGACACACCTGGATGCACAGGTGCATGCATGCTCACGCACCCCTCTTTTGATCAAAGACATGTACAGTGTCAGGAGCCAAACCAAAAAATGAAGGTGAATAATTTTTTAAAAGAAGAAAGTAAAATATGTTTTTATTTTGCTTTGTTGGTTTTCTTTAACCAAAAATGCTGCAGCATGAAAGAAAAACTCATGTTTAAATATCTCCATTTTTAGCCGGTGTTATCTTAAGAAATTATTAACGTGGATATTTGAGCATTGGGAAAGATGCAGTTACTGCAATCCATTAGATACTGAAGTCAGAAAAAAAAATGGGTTTGATGAACTTTTTTTTTAAAATCAGTGAAAGAACAGTCCTTCTGAAAATTAAATTGGTGTTTCCCCCATCACTGGATATAAATAAGCACATTTCCATAGATTATTGAAACTATCTTATGGCAAATGTGGAGAAAATCAATTTATCTGTCACAGTGATGCTTTCCCAGCTTGAAGCCTGCGTTTCAGATGATGTTTACCTCAGACTCCACCTGGAAACTACACAAGCCCTCAGCTCTCCCTTTGTGAGAGAAGCACGCTTTGTTTGTCTTTTCTTCAGTGCATGAAGGCTTTGTAGTTTGCTTTTGGAGGACAGGAGGGAAAACTCTTAATTCCTGACTTTACATTTCCTGAAGTTTTCTAAAATTTCTTTAAAGCTTCTTTTATTGTTTTTCTTCAGTCCAGGACACTTGGAGGAGTTTCTCCAAACTCTGTTCTGTAATTAATTTCAGACATCACTGTTTACCCGCTTCTTAGTTTTCCTGTCTTATTAACTAGCTCTCCTTCCAAGAATACTGAAGTAGAGCAGAGCAAACTTCTGGCTAGGGCTGCTCCAGCTTTCTTGAAAGGAAAAGGGTAAGTTAAAGAGAGAATATGTTCGTAGCTTGCACTAACGCAGCTAAACCAAAACCTTCTCCTCTGTTCCTCCTGCTTTTAATGTATTCTATCAACATCTTTTCCTGAGAAAATTGTGATAACCAATTAACCCAGTGATCTATGTAGGGCATGTTTAAATGATTTTATGTACATCTGGATGCGTGAGATCTTGATCAGGCACTTCCAAGCAAATCTAACTTATGATTTCAGTATGTTAATCATGTGTGTAACATATGTATATGTGATGTATATATGCAATACATAGTGTATTAAAGCAAATAGTGCTGACCTCACAATCTGCTGTATTTTGAGGTAAATTGTACTGTACAGCTCCAGTCCCTGGCCTGATCTGGCATCTCACTGATTTCCAAGGCTGGCTCTGTAATCAAGTGGGATTTTACCATCCTAATCCATTAAATACTTAACATATAAATTACAATATTAACAAAATAATTTTTGCACTTGGTATTTTTTTTCTGAGAATACTTAAGTATTCATTCCTAAATTCCCATTTCACAATCTCACTTGCTCCTGCTTTCTCTGTTTATTTCCCTCTGTCTGTCCGGACTGTACCCTCTGTCCCCCTGACCCCGTTCCAGGTTACAGTACAGCCTCGATGTTGCAGACAGGCTGGCCGATGAACATGTACTCATCGGGTTGTATGTCAACATGCTGCAGAGCAACCCCGCACGGTTAGTGCAGGTTTGGCACCTTTGGGGAACCCAGGAAAGGGACGTTGGTCGGCCAAATGCTCTCACTGTTTCCTCCTGGCTACGAGCTGAAGCAGCTCTTTATGAGCACTAACCTAAGGGGAATGCGTATGAATATGGGGTATGTCCTCCCAGAGTTGGTGGATTGTGGCAATCACTGTTATTCTCTCTAGTGATGTTAACTAGCAAGGTATTGCAAATAATGGCTTAGTTAAGAATGGCTGTACAAATTGATTTGGGATACTGTCGATGCAGGACTTGGCGGTGGTACAGCAGTGTTCACACAATGACTAACAGGTCCATGCTTTCAAAGTAATAATTTTTGAGGTAATACGTCCTTTATACCTTCACCTGGCCTTGAAAGTAAGAAATGGTAATAGTATGTAAATAATGATAATAGCAATAATAGGAATTTGCTTATTAACCTAGTAAAGGAAGGAGTTCTTCTCAATTTTTACATATGTCAGGCATTGTTTTTAAATCTGCCTGATTTCTGCATTGTTTGACTCTTGTATATAAATTTTCCCGTATCTCATTCAGACTGAAGTGTGACAGGTTTTTAACAGTTCATTGTTTCTGCTGGAGTGCATGCGGAGCTTTGTCTACTAAACCCTCCTGCTGTCCTAGCACAGTGGCATCCCAGCAGGCCATCCCAGGGAGGGGAAACACTGGCTCACCTCTCCAAGTGCAACAAAACTCTAGACTTTGCAGCCCTGTACCAGCAAGGTGGTGAGCAGTATAGTATATGGCTGTAGAAAATGTGGTGCTGACAGAAAACTACAATGTTTCTAACAAAACTATGCTCCTGAGGTTTCTTTTGCTCATAATGAACCCTTCGGTTTCCTGTACTGCTATTGCAGAATATTTCCCAGGTTAGGAGAAACTCTCCGTTTACTCTTACATGTAGAAGGCAACAAGCAACTTCACTTGGGAGGGTGAATGCAATGGCTCTCTGCAGTCTTACAAAGTAATTCATTTCTTCGTGTATCTCCAGTTGAAAATGGGAGTAGTTTGCCATGCCCAGTGGAAAAAAAAAGTCTGCCTTCATTGTTCTGGATCTGCTTCTCTACTCTGTATCCCACTGGAATGTGCCAGTGGGGAAAAAGAGGCAAAGTAGTTTTTAGTGAGGAAAATGAAAAACATTTATTCGAAACAAAAACATTTTGAAGGGGAATTTCATTCCTGGCGAAGCACTTCCAGAAAGAAGGCTTGTTGAGTAATATTTACACCGTGGCTGGGAAAACAAGCTGTTGGGGGCATGTGTGTAGACCAGCCCTTGTCCACCCGTGACTGAGGACAGGAGTACGCTGCCACTTGCTCTAGTTTGACAGGGAGAAGGAGATGTGGCCCTGCCTACCGTGAATGACTTACTGGATGCGGCTGTTCAAGAAGTGAGCAAAGAATGGGCATGGTTTAGAGTAATTTTTGGTGCTGAACTGGTTTGCCCGCCACGGCATTTTGGATGCCATGTCTGTGACTCATTTAGCTTCAGTGAGGACCACCAGTTAGATCCCCTTGTGAGCACCTAACCTCATCTTTATCGTATGCATCCTCTGAATTTTATCAAATACATTCCAACCTGTTCCTTCAAGGTTTTAAGCCAACCTCACCAAGTTATAATACATTTATATCCAAATACACACATACAAATTATGTGCCATAACATCCTTCAAATTTAAAGTTTTCGAGGGATGAATGGAGAGTGACTGATAATGGCCTTAATTATTTAAATAACTGATGCAAAGCATAGTATATAACATCTGATTACTGACATTAAATCACTGCAGTCACAGCGTCCTCAATGAAAAACAGTCTCAGTCATTTATTTAAGATACCAATCAGATTTGGACAGAAACATAACCAAGAGGGACAGCAGTCTTAGCCATGCATCCAACCATGCTTCATTGCCATTTTCTGCTTTGTTGTAATGAGACTGCCAGTAGAAAAAGGGAATAGTTATATTTTGGTACAGACAAAAGCAAAGAGAGTGTTGCCATCCCGAAGCTCCTGTGTGAAGCCAGTTTCCAGGAGAGGTCGGTGACACCTCTGCAGGACCCTAAGCTGCTCAGCGTCTCAGGTAGCCTGGGGTGGCATCTTCAGGCAAAGGTGACCTCCTTCTGCCCATGCCCCGCAGTGGCTGGGTGCAGTTTGCTCAAAGCCCACACTGCTGTGTGAGGATGGTGCTGAGTTCAAGTTATTTCACCCTGCGGCTGCAGCGAGCCAGCTCAGCTGTTGTGTCTGCCTGCAGAATACCACGTGTGCATACCCATACGTGCCATCGCATGCTTCCAAGTGCTACTGGCAGACAAAGACGAAAAGAGGGATGATTGTAGCTGGAGCTTCATCTGCAAGGAAAACCTACAGAAATACCTTGTGAGCATAATGCATAAAATTATCTTAAGAGCTATATAGTAGGATTTCAAAGCAAAACACGTGTTGTTTTTTTTTTTTTTTTAGCTATTGAGTCAGACTAATTTGTGTTCACTAGTGGTCAGTCCAATATAGCCTAGTATACCTTTTTTCTCTTTTAAGTGTAGCTAGTATTCATATTTTTCGGTTGTTTAAAATTAATTTAATTAATTTTCACTGCTTATCTTTATTTTCCATCTGCAGTTATTTGATATCGTATGTAGAAGTACAAGATTTCCTTTCCATTCTTCACAGGCTAATAAGCTACTTGAGGGTTTTTCAGAATCTAGTACTCCAGGGCAAATACAGAAACACAAAAAAGACTTAATTCATTATTTACAGTAACTGTATGAGTAGAAAAAGTATGCCTTCACCAGCCACTTTGGTTAGTTTATTTGTAAAGTGTGTTTTAGCATGTAAAACCAGTACTTGATATTTAATTTATTTTCTCTTTAGTGTTTGATTCTAAAAAAAAGAACTTTTAACTGAAAATTATTTTCCTTTTTGTTCGTATAAGTTAGAGACCTTACCTAGTTTTTAATATTAATTCCACATATTTGAGTCTTTTTCTTTTCAGGTGCAGAAAAAAATAAGATAAAATATATTATAAGTGGGAGGTTGTTTTTGTCCCATAGAAAGTTACTTTCTGGGGTTTTTTTCTGTTATACTGTGTAGTACTGTGGTGAGTCATGTTTCTGTACTACAAAAGTGCCATGCTATTCTATGGTATTTTAAAAGATGTTTATTCTGACTCTAGCTCGGAAGGCTGGTTGAATCTTCCCTTGAAAGAGGAAAGGCAGTCAGAGACCCACTGACTACAGAGGAAATGTATAGACACTTGGCTGCCTTGAACAGAGTTAGTTTTTGTGATTATACCTATATACCTGAGTGTTATTAATATTTTGATGGTAAAATCTTGGTGATTCTAAAGTAAATGGCAAATTAACAATAGCAGAGGGCTCAGATGATGTGTCTCGGTTTAAAGTGCCTTAAAACCAGGACAGTTTTGGAAGTGTCACAGATTAACAATCCTGAGAATACGTTTGATGGGTTGCTGTTAGGACATTGTTCTTACAGCCCTGAGGCTAATAAACCTACCCTTTAATTGGTCAGTATTTTCTATAGTTAATTTTTTATTAAATTAGGTTTTGTAGAATAAGAGCATGTCATGAAGACCACATTGATATCTCTGTTGCAAAAATTTCACTACAAAGTGGCATTTCTGAGACTTTTCTACTGAGTGCTGACATAATTTGAAGACCATCAGGGGACATCAGTATCGCCTATTGCAGGGTGCTTACTGCGGAACAGGCTGTTTTTACACATTTAAAGCCTAAGAAATAGCAAAGATCCTCCTTTGTTCACGGGCCGTCACTCCTTTGTTCACAGGCTATCATATTTTTCATCCTTTGCCTACAGTTTTGTGATCCTTTTTTTACTGATCTCCTCTAGAGCATAGGATATTGCACAGATCAACTAAAGCCTAAAAACAAAGTCTTGTCATACAGGTGATAATATTGGATAGTCACTCTACAACTGAATGATAATAATTCTGCCAGACCAATTACTGCTAATAATTACAAAGTCTTTCAATAAATGGTCACTAATATGTTAAAAGTGTTGTTTTAACTTTTTTAGGAAAAATGGCTCAGCAGCAGGATATTTGTATGCAAAATGTTTATTTTCTTTCAAAAGGATGCCTGAATCATTCTCTTGAGGGTCCCAAATTCTGCACACATAATATTTTAAAGCTTGTATGTATTTCAATGCATCATAGTCTCTGAAATTGTTGAAGTAAAACTGAAGTGAATGATGGCAAATTAGAACTCTGAGACATAAAGTCTTGGCAGTCAAGGCTAATGCTGCTGTGCATACCTCTGTGCTTAATGATCACATAGAATCGGTACATTCCAGAATTAAATTTATCTCAGACATTGAAATTCAATTTACAAAGCTTTGGGGACAGTGATTTGTGGCATTCATAGACCAAATTTGATGTGCTGCTACATCTATTTTATGACATCCACCTACACATGAATATACATCAAAGACATTAAATAGCGAGTAAGAATCAAAAAGCGGCAGTGGCTTGATTCATTCAGTAAAGTCGTTGTTTCAGGGGTTTACTCACATCTCAGAACTATGTTGCAGATTGTGTTATGCCAACAATGGAACTATTATCCATTATTTTTCCAGGATGGATAATGTGGTTGCACATTGCTGTAAAAAGGAGAATAGAAGCTGAATGCTTGCTGTTGTCACAGCCATCTGTTAGAATGTGATGTTTTAGTCATTATGGAAAAATTAAAAGTGAATTATACTTTCATGAAAGTAACCCTTATTAGCTGGTTTGCATTATTTTATGTGTCTATAAGAGCTGCTTCCCCCTTTCTTTGGATGACATATCAGGACAGTAGGCTTGAGCATGTACGAAGCAGAACTCTATGAATTTAGAAAAATACCTGTAGCTTGGGACTTTTCAGAAAGTAAATCAGTTATCCCACAAGGATCTGAGTAAGCATAGAATTAAGCTATATATGTAACAAAATAAATTAAACATAATCAGTGTTCCTCTACCACCAGACGTCTTATGTGTGGTCTGCTGCACAGGCTTAGCTTACACAGAACCCCTCTGGGTCTGACTTTTCACAGCTTTACTGTTTTTCTCAAGTTCATGTTTGTGGTCTCACAGGTTATTGTCAGAATAAGAAAAAAGATGATGATTGTCTCTTTTTCCCTTACCTCAGCAAGCCACAACGAATCCACGTGACTCCCAGCTTTAGTTTAATGATCAGGGAGTATCAGCCCCTACCCATCTTTCAAACATAACTTCTAAATCCCAGTGAACTTAATCAAGCCAACCAAAAAATGCACATTGTAATTCTCCGAGGTACCTGGGAATAGGAACTCACTGAGAATGTTTTTTGGGAAATATTTCCTTTTCCTTTTAAAGATGCTGATTCTTCAAAAGTAGAACTTTGTGCATAAGTGTCATTTTCATCTGGAAGGCTTTTCTTTTCAAGTTCAAGATACAATTTCTAGCAGAAATCAGAATAAGATGTCCATGCCCAAAATCACCGTTGTTTTGCATGTTCTTTGGAAACGTGAAGCTCATTCACCAGCAACCAGTTGCATGACCTGAAGAGCATGGGGGTATGGAGGCACATGCCTGTCTCCCTTCAGCCAAAACATCAGACAGGTGCCATCAGACAGTTGCCACCTCTGTCTGCAATAGTCTGCAAGGTTTTCTTGTATTCCACACAGCAAAGCATTCTTCTCATCTCTTATTAGGGGCTTCATTTTTTTTCTCTTGTTTATGCTAAAATAATGCCATATAGGATTCTAAATCCCAGGATTATCCAGGGTAAATTAAGTCATAGAATCATAGAATGGTTTGGATTGGAAGGGACCATAAAGATCACTCAGTTCCAACCCCCTTGCCATGGACAGGGACACTTTCCACTAGACAAGGTTGCCCAAAGCCTTATCCAACCTCTTCACATTTCATTTTTTTGTCAGTTTATTAGTTTTGCTGGTTCTCTGCAAACTTCTAAATATTTAGAAATAGCAAAGGTTCTCACTATATTACCTTTTTCCTGCTCATCTGACTAAATAATAGCCTCCATTTAAAATAAGGACAGCTGTCAAGGGATTAACCTGAGAGAAATGTTTGCCTTTGATATTGTTAGAAAAAAATAAGGTAATAAATTGCAATATTTTAAAGGAATTCAGAATATTTGCAGTAAGATCTTACACTTTATGAATATTTCTCATGGAGATTCTGTGCATGTGACCAAAGTGGATGCTTTTCATAGTCGGTGCTAGTAGACTCCTGCATCCTGGCAGCAGGGATTGGGT